AGCCAGTATAGGAACTTATCATTCCTGCCAAAGACAATCAGGGACTGGAACAAGCTTTCAAAAGGAACGGTTGAGGTGACAACACTAGACACATTTGTGTCTATTGCCTCAAGCCTTCAAACCCCTAGTGCATGATTCCTGCACAAAGTAGCACTTGCAAGCAGTGAAATATCCTCATCAACACCAGGCACAGAAACATTGCAAATCCCCTCTACATGTATAGGAGCCAAAATGATTAATAAATTGATCTTGGGCCCTTAATATATAGAAGAAGAAGAAGTCACATGCCGGCGTAATAAAGTGACTGCTAATGGTCAATCAGAGTTTAGGGTACTTCATTTGAACAAATTCAAGATGGCCTGGACATTTACATGAAAAATATATATGTTCAATTCTACAAAAGAAATACTAGAACCATTGCTTATATATATAATGAACAAATTGTTAAAATGTGATAATGTTAAATAAAGCGTGACATGCCTGCTGGTTGAATATCTCCCACACTATTTGTCCAGTCGCCTGACTTCTATACACTGCCTTGTTTTTATCGACGCGTACCAGGTTCTCCAACTCATTCTTCAATCATCAATTGATCCGATCGTGATTGATCCTTTTACTAGGCTAAAAAATAATTCAGTTGTGTTGTGACTTTTCTTAATTACGTGTATAAAACTATTGAAAGTGGTGGGTACAATGATATTAATAAACATACATTATCAATAAACATAAGGCTGCAGCTTAGCAGTGAATCTACGACATCCATGTCTAATTTCTTTGCTAAGGAATCGAACGATTCAGTTATAAGATCTGTAGTTTTATTTACCACCTTTGTATTGAAGGAAATATTTCTCTAGCCAACTCTGATCATTTTCATGCCAGAGTCAAAAAAATGTTTCCTGGCTCGCAGATTGCTAGAAGATTGTGAAGAAAAATTACAATGAAACAAAGGCAAGCATGAAAGTTGATACTCTTTCTAACTTACTTGTAACTATACTCTTTCTAACTTACTTGTAACTAAAATCAATTGCAATGCTAACCTTCAGTTGTCCAAAGAGCTGTTGGACAAGGGCAAAAAGGCCACTAGTATATGCTGGAAAACTGAACGCTTAGCAGCCTGTGTACATATGTAAAATAAAATGGATATTCTGTTCTGTATATATCTGTAAACATTTCCAAGACAATGGAGGTAACTGAATATTTATTTATTTACTAAAAAGGGCCTGTGCATTACTATGTAGATCTTAAACCAATGCGCCCCCCCTGGGTGCTGCAACACCCCCCCCCCCCCCCCCCCCCCCCCCCCCCCCCCTCAAAGACAATGGAGGTAACTGAATATTTATTTATTTACTAAAAGGGGCCTGTGCATTACTATGTAGATCTTAAACCAATGCGCCCCCCCTGGGTGCTGCAACACCCCCCCCCCCCACACACACACCCCCCTACAGATTTTTTACTTGGTAGGTTGGCAGGTCTGGTGTGTGTTTCTTTGTGTTAATTGGTCATCTCTTGTATACAATTAGAACAATTATTGGATTTTTTTTTAATAATCAATTTTTATTTTTTTTTACTGGACTTGTAGTCCAGATCTCAAGGTCTCATCAAACAACTACAAGAGCTCACAGAACAGATTGAAAACACACGTGTTGAGCTGAACACATTTGAACACCTGAGGCAACATGAGATGGGAGCCATTCCAAAAAGATTAGAGGTGGGTTTTTTTTTTTTAAAATAAATAGTTTTTTATTTTGGATTTATTATTCAATAATTAACTCATGGTTTCTTTCTAAATGTTGATTTTTTTAATACTTATTCTCAGCACATTTTAAAGTTGTTCTTTCAATAAACAAAAACTCAAATAAATTCATTAAATGAAATTATAATTTAATTTTATATATGTAATTTTTTCATGATTTAAAAAAAAATAAAATAAAGCTCTGATTGTCACAGATTAGATGATGGTAGTATAAGGTATTGCCCGTTGCGTACCAAGTAGTATTGGTGTTGGTTGATGCAGGGGTTGCTCCTCTCTGTGAAGGTTCAGTGTCCAGACGTTGAGGAAATATAACGAAGACGACACAGACTTCAAAGAATGACCAATAAATTCCTCATTAACAACTATCAACAAAGAATGTATTAAAAGATCCAATACAGTTTAAAAATATTCCCTTTCACCGTTACCATCCATTAGTCTTTAACGCTTCCCAACTTCCCAAAACATTCAGTAATCTTCCACGCTCCTTAACCTTAAAACATTTTTCCTCAACTCCCGGAAATCGCCCATCACCCATTCCAAATCCAGCTAACGTGGTGCGACCCATGGGGAAAACCCGAACAAAATAGCATTATTACTAACATGGAAATGCAATGGAGCGCCATTGTTACACCCTGCCCTAGTCATTTGTGACACTGATCCACATTCCAGCTTGAACCATCTAAAACTAAAAGTAAAGCTCAACATAAATTTGAAATGACATACATGGAACTATAGAAGAACTTTCTTATAATAGAGAGATATAATTTTAATCAGTTAAATAATTTTAATCAGTTAAAACTACATTAAATAAAATATGTAGAAGTTGTTAACGTGTCATGTCGTTCATTAATGTGCGTTTAAAAAGAAATAATATGAAGCTGTGATTCAGACCCAAAAGTAAAGCTTAACATGAAATGACATACATAGAAATAGAAGAAAAAAATTAAATGAGTCGCCTGTAATTTTAGAAATAACCAAGTCTGTTGAAAACTTTTTTACTTTATATCTGAAGAATCAAATATAACCCATTTTTACAAATGTCAAAAGTTGATGTCTAAAGTATTTCCCAAGATATCAGGCCATTGTTATTTCAGTGATATTTTACATTTTTATAAAGGTCTATATACGTATGTATATTTTTATTTTTTTTTCTAGTCCCTCACTGAAGATGTTCAAAGGCAGACAGAGAGAGAAAGAGAACTTCAGAAAAGATTTAGTGAACTTCAGCACCAACGAGACATTTTGTATAACCAAGACAACTGAGGATTCAGCACTGTTTCATCATGCTGTATTCTGATCATAATTTCTAGTTGACTTTCCCGTTTTCTTGGGCCCTCTTAGTCTTAGAGGGGTTTGTTTTAAATGTGTTTGGATGTTGATTTCAATTCTGTGTTTAAAGACATTAAAACTTGTAGTCTTAGTCGGTAATTATTTTAAATTAGAATGATAGAAGACATTGCTGCATTAAGTTCTGAATTTGACTTTAGTATCCTTAATCTAATGGACTTCCATCTGGAGGACTTGTGCAAAAACAGTCTGAACTATTTGAGAAAATGTTTGCTGCAGCAGCTCTAGGATACATGTGTACTCATTCATGTATTGTATACCAGTAACAAAAAACGAAAAAAGTTAAATATATCATCGCATACATAAGTCCCTGTTGAAACTGGTTAAAGAAATTAATTGATAAATTTTGCAGCTGTCTGGAATGATATAAATGTAGTTGCAAACTAATCACACATTTTTATTAAAGACGCTCAATTACTGTGCTAGAACAGGAAACACACTAATATCCGGTTCTATACGGGGCAAGATAATGTTGCAATATATCTCAGTGATGAATTTTTTGTATTTTAATTGTATTTTTTAAACAACTACATTGCATTAGGTGAGAATGATGAGTCATGTGCTAAATGACCAAAACAAGCACTAATAAAAAATGTGTTTTTAAAATCAATTTTCTGTTTTTCATTATATGAATAAAGGCATGAACTATTTGAAGTTCACTTTTAATTATTCATTTTAAAAAAAATTAATATTCCATAATTACGTGATAATTGAAATGGCTCAGGTTCTTTAAATCTTTTACCGCAGTTGGATCACAAATATTGGTACACTAATTCAACCCCTACAGCAAATTGATCTCTTATACTAATTTAACCCAACAGTACTGCATACTGATCTGATTTACTAATTAAACCCCTGCGGTACTGCATACTGATCTGATTTACTAATTAAACCCCTGCAGTACTGCATACTGATCTGATTTACTAATCAAACCCCTGCCGTACTGCATACTGATCTGATTTACTAATTTAACCCCTGCACTACTGCATACTGAAATTATTTACTAATTTAACACCTGCAGTACTGCATACTGATCTGATTTGCTAATTTAACACCCGCAGTACTGCATACTGATCTGATTTACTAATTTAACCCCTACAGCAAATTGATCTCTTATACTAATTTAACCCAACAGTACTGCATACTGATCTGATTTACTAATTAAACCCCTGCGGTACTGCATACTGATCTGATTTACTAATTAAACCCCTGCAGTACTGCATACTGATCTGATTTACTAATCAAACCCCTGCCGTACTGCATACTGATCTGATTTACTAATTTAACCCCTGCACTACTGCATACTGAAATTATTTACTAATTTAACACCTGCAGTACTGCATACTGATCTGATTTACTAATTTAACACCCGCAGTACTGCATACTGATCTGATTTACTAATTTAACCCCTACAGCCTACTGATCTCATATACTAATTTAACCCCTACAGCCTACTGATCTGATATATTAATTTAACCCCTAATCTGATACACTCATTTTACCCCTGCTGCCTACTGATCTGATACACTCATTGAACCCTTACTCTGATGAACTAATTTAAATCCTACAACATATTGATCTGACACCAATGCATACGCTAATTAAGCCTATATCTCCCAATGACATTTCTTAGGTACGCAACGGAAAATAATTAGCTTCACATTCATTAATTTAAAAAGAAACTTTTAGATCCATTTATCTTCATCAAAATCTAAGACTACCATTTCCGCAAAAGCCTAATTTTGCTGACTAAAGTCACTAAAGATATGGCCACAGAGTCCTGTTTGAAATCATTCTGACCACCTTTTGTGCCTCCCCCTGTGATATGGCCACAGAGTCCTGTTTGAAATCATTCTGTCCACCTTTTGTGCCTCCCCCTGTGACACCCCAGCAGTCTTTTGTAAGTCCTGGCAAATTTGTTGGACATTGACACGTACACCAAGAAGTTAGCCGAGGCATTGACTGCGCACAGAATGTCGCACACATCGTTCATGATCTTGTGCACTGGAGACTCGAATATGAAACTTGGCTTGAAGAACATATACATCGTAATGGTGGGGAGGATGACGCACAGGTAGATGCAGCAGACGGTCACCAACATCTTGACCACTTTGACGTCGTAGCCGGCGGAGTTCGACGACGTCATCAGCTCCCGTTTTCTGGCGGCCTTGTTGAGCTTGACGCAGATGGCCACGCAGCAGGCGAAGACCAGCGAGACACTGATGGCACAGAACAGGTTGTTTAAGCCCACCCATACGTAGAAGTCTAAGACAACGTGGTTTGTTTGGTAGAACTCGGTGAGCTCAACAACGGCTACGGATTTTTTTAATTCTTCGTCGTACACCCAGACGAGCCTGAACGTTAAGAAGCTTGGCGAGATCGCCGCCAGGCTGAAGAAGAAAATAGACAGCGAAAGAATGAAAACGGTCCGCCGGGTGAACATTTTAGAAACTCGGAACGGGAAAAACACGGCCACGAAGCGTTCGACGGCGATGAGGGACACATAGAAAAAACTGGTTCCCAGACACACGAACTTGGGCATGAAGAGATACACGGTCACGAACGTGTTCAGGGACGTGGCCAAGACTGGGTCGAAATGGCCAACTACACACTTGAGGCGCGTCACTGGAAGGAGAGTGCTGAAGAGTAGGTCAGACACGGACAGTGAGATGAGAATAATGTTTGTGGACTCCCGTGTTCCGTGCCGCCGTAGCACGGCAATGTTGATGGAGTTGCCGACAATGCCGAACATGCTGATGATGTTAATCGCGAAGCAGTTTGCGAAAACATTCAAGATTCTTACTATGGAAGGGTCTATGGAATCAGAAGTAGGGAATTTAAATGTATCCGGTGAAAGTGTTGCATTGCTCATCGCTGCTACTACCATTGTGGTACCGGGTATTTCAGTAGTTATACCATCGGAGTTTGCTATACGCTAACTGATGCTACGCGAATATTGTGGAAATATTAAGATAATTTTTAATTCAGTTCAGAATTATATTCTTTTTTTTTTAAACCTGTTGTATATAAATAATATAATTATTGATTTAATATGTTTTTGAAAATTTCGCAACTATACAAAAAAAAATCAAGGCTGTAGGCCTTTTTTGTTTTAGGAATGTGCTAGAAATTTTCTATGATTGAGGATGTGCTAGAACTAACCAATGATTGGGAATGTGCTAGAACTATCCTTAGATTGGGAATGGGCTAGAAATGTAATATGATTTGGAATGTGCTAGAAATGTCCTATGATTGGGAATGTGCTACAACTAACCTAGGATTGGAAATGTGCAAGAACTGTTCTATGATTGAGAATGTGCTTGAACTATCCTTTAAGTGGGAATTTGCTAGAACTATCCTATGATTTGGAATGTTCTATAAATGTTCTATGATTTGGAATGTGCTAGGACTATCCAGGGATAAGCTATTTTGGTATAAATTTATTCCAACTTGTAGTCACACGTCCTACTTGGAAATAAATCTTCGAATTGTGTGCCGGTATTTTAAAGTGTAATTATGAAGGAAATATGTAACGCAAACATGGACCTAACCATATCGTTGAATTGTGTACCGGTATTTTAAAGTGTAGCTATGAAAGAAATATGTACCTCAAACATGGACCTAACCATATCGTTGAATAGTGTACCGGTATTTTAAAGTGTAGTTATGAAGGAAATATGTAACTCAAATATGGACCTAACCATATCGTTGAATAGTTGGAGCCATATAGAAGTTGTGGTATTGTTTGCCCCCCGAAAAGTGTCAATTAATAACTTTCACATCAAACTTCTTTTATCAAATTCACAAGGTATCCTCTCAGTGATCTGCTAACCATCCCTGCCTGTACCGCGTCCTGCACAACATTCATTCAAAGATACCTATCTAAGTTTTCTTTAATTCTAACCAAGTTTAATGTCCCTCCTATTACAATAATTTTTTTTTTTTTTTTTTTTTTTTTTTCTTTTCAACTCCGCACGTTCATAGTTAAAAAGTAGTGCAGTCGCTCAGTAACATGAATAATAGCTGCACTTCTTGACATTTCAAATCTGCAGCGGACCGCTCGTGTGAAATTGTCTAATCGTCTCTAATCTTAGTTAAACGATCAGTTAAAATCATTAGTCGCATTAGACTCCGATACTGACATAGAAAAGATGGTTCATACTTTATAATTCCTGATAAACTCTCGTGCTGTTCAAATGGCATGAAGAGTTTTTTCCCCTAATGATTTACATAAAACTAAAAACGCATTTAAGGATTTAATGTAAGTTAGTTATTATTTTTTTTTTAGTTGTTGTTAAAGTGAAAAGTTAACAAGCTTATCTCTTTAATAAGTCTTTACAGCTACTTTTAACACTGGTGATTGTAACATAATGCCTTATCTAATAGACATACTGAATTATTAAGTCACCAAGAAATTTAAAGAGAAATAAAGAACACTTTTGTCTGTGACGCGAAAGTTTTAGGCTGTGATTAAATGACATTTAAGGGTAAAGTAACTCTCTACAGCAAATTGTTTCTATGGACTTTATAATTTGTGGGTGATATTTCAAACCACCGCAATTCAATAAGTTTGAAAGTTACTGTAGTTATAAACTGTTACAAAGGTGTAGCATTTTTTGTACAAGCTTTTCTTATGTCTTTTGAAGGAAACAGGACACATTCTTTAGTTATTAATGTGGTTGTTTGATCTTACTAGAAAAAAAAAAACAACAACGAATATTTGTGAAACGTATTTGAAGGAAAAAAACAACAAAATATTTGTATTTTGCAAATTTATTTCTAGCCAAATTTTAGAAATATCCGTTAGCGTTAAAGATATTTGACCAGATAGACATATTCCTCTTTATCTTTTAAGTTGAGTGCTTGGACGTAAAGGTATAAAGATGCATTTTAATAATTTAAAACGTTTAATAGTTTATTTGAAATCGAAAAGTAAATAGAAATGAAACAAACTTCACAATAAAAGAATGTGACGCCATCACTTACAAAATTACGAAACAACCGTTTCAACCGTACGTCAATATTCATCAAGTTCATGCAGTGTAGGCCTAGTCCAATGTTGACAAACGATTCTGATCATTTGCTCGATTTGATTATGGTATCATTGATGTTGTAAAATAGTTGTGTCGATAAAATGATTAGCCATGATCTCAGCCAGGCAGTTACTATAAATAGCACGATTTTTGTAATAAGAGTTCTAGTGCCAGCAGGCTTGGATCTTAAAGATCTAACACCAGATGAAGGAAAATCTACAAGTGCTGTTATCGAAATTCGTTTTCAAATCTTCATTTTCTATATAACAGCTTCACCAGTGACTTTATAACAACTTCAACATTGACTTTATAACAGCTTCACCAAAGAATATAAAACAACTTCATCAGTGACTATATAACAGGTCCATCAGTGACTTTATAACAGCTTCACTCGTGATTATTTAACAACTTCACCAGTGACTTTATAACAGCTTCACCAGTGACTTTATAACAGCTTCACCAGTGATTATATAACAACGTCACCACTGACTTTATAGCAACCTCACCAGTGACTTCATAACAACCTCACCAGTGACTTTATAACAACTTCACCAGTGATTATATACAACTTCACCAGTGACTTTATAACAACTTCACCTGTGACTTTATAACAGCTTCACCAGTGACTTTATAACAACTGGACCAGTGACTTTATAACAGACAACTTCACCAGTGACTTTATAACAGCTTCACCAGTGACTTTATAACAGCTTCACCAGTGATTATATAACAACGTCACCACTGACTTTATAGCAACCTCACCAGTGAATTCATAACAACCTCACCAGTGACTTTATAACAACTTCACCAGTGATTATATACAACTTCACCAGTGACTTTATAACAACTTCACCTGTGACTTTATAACAGCTTCACCAGTGACTTTATAACAACTGGACCAGTGACTTTATAACAGACAACTTCACCAGTGACTTTATAACAACTGGACCAGTGACTTTATAACAGACAACTTCACCAGTGACTTTATAACAGCTTCACCGGTGACTTTATGTCAGTTTCACCAGTGACCTTACAACAGCTTCATCATTGACACGAGGTTTTCTGAATGTCGTTTGAACAGCATTTTATTCTCCTTGTTTGAAGAGCGGACACAAACACCATCATGCAATCAGAAGAATTGTTTCGTTTATTCGTCTATAAGCTTTACTAGCAGGGCCGACGCTAGGAGGGTGCGGGGCTTTGGGCGAATTGAATTTTTGCGGGGCCGTTTACGTTATATATTCCCACGTTAGGATATTAAGACACATTATAGTCGTACTGGGGCCATGCTGGTCATAATGGGACGCGTTATTACGGATATTTGTCCACTCGCTAAGTTTCCGAAATTTCTATTTTTTTCCTGTAACAGTTAATTGCTCTGGGCCGAATAACTCATCGCGGCTCCATTGTTGCCAATATCAAGGTTGTCAAAAACAAATAACGAAGACACGCAGCTCAATGAGCCATTGTAATCTGGACACAAGCAAAACACAAGCAAAAAACTCCGAATATTGTGTTGACTGGATTAGGAACTATTAGTAGGCTTAGGTACATTATAAAAAATACTCCGCCCACTTCGCCATCCCCTAGCGCCGACCCTGCCCCTAGTTTTTAGACTTAATCGTAAAAAGAAGTCCCATCAAGAAATGTGTTACTGCATTTAGTCACGGAAAATGAAAGAAAGACACTCGTGAATAATAAAGCGAATTCTTGATTAATAATTAGACATTTAGTTGACAGTTACTAACCCTAAACTAACCCGGTTTTGAAATAAATAGGTTTTACAGCAAAGTCTGTCTTGTTCTCGTGAGATGTGCCAACAAATAACGCGACAACCGAGATCTAAAAATATTTTAAATATACCGACCGTATTAAGTGGATCATTCAGTAATCTAAACAAGAATTCAATATCATTCTTCATCAGGTTCTTTTAATTTTTTATTATTTAGTCACTGATGTTCTGGTGAGAACAAGAAGTAGATATTGTGCCAATGCGTATCAAAGGGGGGCAAGGGGAGAGTGATATCCCCGGGCGCCAGCTAGTTAGGGGCGCGAAAATGTGCTTGGATATTATTTTATAAATAAAAATAATGGGTCTGAGAGTTGAAAAAAAAAAAGGGGGCGCTTTAAAATGAATCTTGTCCCTGGGTGCGAATCTTTTCCCCCAGGGCGCCAAACACTCTCGCCACGCCTCTGATAATGTTTTAGCTCAATTACGATCTTTATCAGGCCATGCGTTAAATGTCACTTGTAAACTAAAACAATAAAACAAATTTCACTTAAAGTTTACTGTAAATTAAAAAAAAAAACGACACCCTGCAAAGTTCACCTCAAAGCGTTCTCCGTCAACCCTGCCCCACGGGGACACCCCGCAAAGCTCACCTCAAAGCGTTCTCCGTCAACCCTGAGCCACGGGGACACCCCGCAAAGCTCACCCCAAAGCGTTCTCCGTCAACCCTGAGCCACGGGGACACCCCGCAAAGCTCACCTCAAAGCGTTCTCCGTCAACCCTGAGCCACGGGGACACCCCGCAAAGCTCACCTCAAAGCGTTCTCCGTCAACCCTGACCCACGGGGACACCCCGCAAAGCTCACCTCAAAGCGTTCTCCGTCAACCCTGAGCCACGGGGACACCCCGCAAAGCTCACCTCAAAGCGTTCTCCGTCAACCCTGACCCACGGGGGACGTAAGGCCAACGATCGAGCGGCAGGTGCTCAAAGCAGCACGAAGCCACAAGAACAGCTGCAGCAGTAGGCGACTCACACGCAATTCAGAACAACCTTCTCTACTGTTGCATCTGGAGATGTCCCTTCGATTCATTCGTTCCTTCATCAAGGTTTCCCTCTGTGCAAGACCTGTCATTTGCACACACACACACAAACACATTAAATCAGCCCCAAAAATCCTCTTTGAGTTGAGGGGTGAACACACCAAAGTGATGTTAAAAAAATTGTTGCCATGGATCAAGGCTGTGGCGTTGCTAGGGGGGTGCGGACCGCACCGGGTGACACCATCTCAGGGGGTGACACCCAAATAAAAAAAATTGCATATTTACACACTGCGCTTTAACGGAATTTCCTAAAAGTAAAAGGATAAACCAATCACAAGTAAATGTTCCACATATGTAACCAATCAAAGTGATACGATGAAGAATATTGATTTTGATCAAGTGGTTGAAAGGTTTGCAGCTTTGAAGCCTAGGATTGGAAAATTTTAAATAAAGTAATTTTAACGTAAAAATAACAATGACTTAACAATGTTATAGTTCTTAAATACCTTTACCACCTGACTTTCAACTAATTTTAATTCTTCTCATTGTTTTTGTTGGCTTATTTTAACAAGAAGAAATATGTCGTGGAAGCTTGGGGGGGTTTGACACCATGAATTTACCGCACCGGGTGACACCAACCCTAGCTACGCCACTGGATCAAGGTGTCTTAATGTATGGCTGATTCTTAAAGGCTCCATCGTGACGTTATTCGAGGATTAAGATTGGGTCGTTCATGTACACCTACTTTATAAACCTCAGTTTGAACATGTTTGTATGGATGTTTGCTTATCAATTCGCTACTTTATAACAATGAAACGAAACACCGTCTCAAAGGCAAAATGTGTTACACTCGGTTACCGGAAATTTGATCGAAAGAAATTTCGTCGACGGTAAATTGATCGACGGAATTTTGATCGAACGTAAATTGGGTGGAAACTTTTTTTTTTCAGTTCACACGTTAAAATGTTCGTCAAATTTCTTTTTGAATGCATTATACTATATAGTAAAACAAAGTAATGCGTTCAACAAGAAATTTGAAGCAAAATTTTTACGTAAAAACTGAAGAAAAAAAGATTCCACCAAATTTCCGTTCGATCAAATTACCGTCGATCAATTTACCGTCGATGAAATTTCTTTCGATCAGATATCCGGATATGGTTACGCTCTACATGGAACCATTTCAGTTCCTAATATTAGTAGTAATAGTTATAGATTTCCATTTTTAAAATAAAATTATTTTCACGATGTGCATTCATTATAGGCTTCTTGATTGTCAAACACAATAAGTTTCTGTCTAGATTTTTACTGTCATCAGAGAATGACATTTAGTGTCACTGACATCAGATGATGACATGGTAGTGTTACAGTTAAAAAAAAAACATACAAGAAATTGAGCAATGAAAAAAAACATCAAACGTCATGCCGGTATTCATCAAAATGTAAATGTTGATTTTTAATAAGTTGTATGTCTTAATTTAAAAAAAAAAGAAAACTAAATCAGATTTGAAATGCGCAACCATGTATCTTTATGGTATAAGATTTATTTACTAAATGCATGAGAAGATATATTTGTTTGTATCACATACGTTGGATTAATGGATCTTGATCAAAATTGGTATCCATAGTTGTTTCACTTCATTCTCCAGAAGTTATGTTGATGGAGTTTGGATTTTAAAAAAAACAAAAAAAAAAAAAACACGTCCCGTTCAGGGTTTGGGGGTGGGGCGGGGGAGCGGGTAAAATTTTGTTTTTATTTTTCTTGTAGGAGTAATACGTGGAGGGCTGCGTTCCCGTAGTGACCTCGCTCTTTCGAGCGTTAAAGGTCCCATACACTGTTAAGTCCATACACTGTAGGCCCATTTAATGCGGTCTGTGCCAGTCATGTATGAAGGTTAAAAGGCCATAATTTGGATTGGGGGAGGTGGAGCTGGGGGAGGAGGATGGGTGTAAACTTGGCTAAGTGCTGGATGTCACAGGGTGACTGTTACGCCATGGTCAAATTACTACCCACAGGTACACCAGTCATGGGAAAGTAAGAAGACAAGGTATAGTTACAATATGGTGGTTCTCTGCGTCTGTTATCACACGGGAAATGTATGAATGCGAGTCTGTATACAGTCGTCTGTGACTCGCCCTAAGGCGTTGGTTTATCGTTGCTTGATGACAATCTATTGGGGTGGACATCGGCGACTGCAAGGCGTGTTGGGCAGAAGTTGAGGAGAAACAAACTGGTATTTATATGTATAGCGATACTGAATTTGGTAGCTTCACTGACTATTACAGTCCGCACATGAGACTCTCATGAGTGTTTAGACATAAACTTGGACCTACCTGTACCAGTTTTGCCACAGTATCCACACAGAGAGGTAAGTGTATGTACGGTGTCTGAATGAATAGGCTTTATGGTACTGCGTGTGTCAGATAGTTATGCTACGTTTAGAATTTTGGAAGACTACGTCCGTTAGGTAGTTAGCATAGGGCTTTGTATAGATCACACGGTGTAGGTGATTTCTTCATATATTTCAGGAGTTGTCAACCTTTATTATTATCGATGCTAGTAAGAGAAATCCTTACAAGCACGTGACCGTGTGATTGGTGTAGGCCTGCCGATACAGAGCGACGACAAGACGCAAGAAAGAGCCGGAGACAATCCTTGACCATAGGACTGACCCTTAAGAAGTGGAGGAGCCACAGCCATAAAGTACACCACTATAGAGAGGTGTAGTGTCTCGCTTGCATCATACGTCGGAATCGCCTGAATCGTGTCAGGGCCGGCGCTAGGAGGGTGCGGGGCCTTGGGCAAATTGAATTTTGCGGGGGCCGTTGACGTTATGTATTCCGCCGACAGGATATTGAGACACGTTATAGTCGTACTGGGGCCTTGCTGGTCATGATGGGACGCGTCATAACGGATATTTGTTCACTCGCTTAGTTTCCGAAATTTCAATTTATTCCTACAACAGGTAATTGCCCTGTCCCAAATTACTCATCGCGGCTCCATTGTTACCGATATCAAGGTTGTCAAAAACCTATGTACAGTATAAAATTCCCTGATTATCCCTTTTCGTCTGCTTAAGACGCGCCCAGAGATCTTCCCGAGTTTTATCTCGAAGGGATAGTGTGGGACCATTTGACTATCTAATAACTCCGAGTATTGTGTTGACTGGATTAGGAACTATTAGCAGGCTTAGGTATATTATAAATATACTACGGCAACGCCACTTCGCCATCCCCTAGCGCCGGCCCTGTTTGTGTCTTTCTTGTACTTTGCACATGTTCTTTGAATTCTTATATTTACATGACGGCCATCCACATCTCGTAGTACATCGTTTAGAATAGTCCTCAATCATATTTCATGCATATCTTAAAGTGTATTTGTGAGTATCTCATATTATGTTACAGTGTATTTAGATAATGAATTAGCCTTCGTTACTTTAAGTTAAGTTGAGGATTAATTTTTTTTTACTGCATTGGTATTGTGTATCCATAGGTACCTCAAAACAAGGATGTGTCAGAGGCGTTGTAGAATTTAGACTACGTGTCAATCAGCATAAGGAAGCTAGTGATAGTGGGGTTGGAAAGTTACAACTATTTATAATACATGGGGGGGGGTCTTTTGGGGGTGGGAGAGTGACTGCTGGGGGTCTGCTGCCACAGAGCCCCGACTTGAAAGATTCGAAGGAGGCGGATGGTGTGGTGGGAAAGGGGAGATTGATCCAATCAGAAATTGTCCGAGGGAAAAAGGGGGGGGGGGGGGGGGGGGGCCAATTTTTTTTTTAAAAAAAAAAACAAAAAAGCTTTTGATCTTGTGCGTTTTAAAGCGATTCGAATGGGAGCATTTGTGAAACAAGTTTTGTTCGTTGCCCATCCGATGGTAAACATTTAAGTGGGCAACCTTGCAAATTCCTTCCAATTCTAAACGGATAATTTGAAAAAATTACTTGAATTGTATCTGAATAACTTTTATAGAACCCCCAACCTAGGGAATTTTTTCGGTGCTCAGTAATTCATAGGAAAAATAATGTATCGATCCAGAAGTGAGCTGAAGCACAATTTGAACAAAATACGCAGCTTAATTAGTGACAACTAAAAATAATTTATCAGGCTACCTGTTGCAACAGTAATGATGTTTACCGAATGTGTAATTGTGAGATGGAATATTTTTTATATAGAATTTTCTTTAATTTTTTAAAATTGAAATTCTAGTTGAAAATGATTGATTGATTGAATACTTATATAGCGCTTGTATCCATGCTTTTTTTTAGCATGCTTACAGCGCTCTGATGTATTAAATCTTTTAACAGAAAAATGTGTTTGTTTGCTTGTTGATATGTGACGCACACCACATAACTCAATTTTTCACCCCCAAAAACCCCCATCGTAAATCATTTGGCGTTGTACTATTTTTTTTTCAACTGAAAAACGCTAGTCAAAGAAAATATCTTGATAGGTTTTAAATCTAAAATGAAAATTGTGTTCACCAAATGGATAAATCAAACAATATATAACTTTAACTTTAATAAAAAGAAAACTATTAAAGTAGTAGAAAATTTACACACCATGGTAAAAAAATATACACAATGTTGCTTTATAAGTATAAATATTGCTTTCGCAAAAAAAAATAAAATAATAATATATATATAAATATCTATAAAACATAATGTAGCCGGTAGTTTGATTTTCCAAATAAATTTCAACTAAAAATTTCCCTGTTTGCTACTTACTGAGGTCAATCTCGTTAACTCGTTTTGCCCACAACCAAACAATGTCTTATACGTCTTTGCGAACTTTGAAGACATTGTGACGTAGACCAAGAAATTGGAAGAAGCGTTGGCTAAGAATAGGATGTCCCCAATGTCACTCATCAGCTTGTGCACGGGCGACACGAAGATAAAATTTGGCTTGAAGTAAGAATACATCGTTATCGTCGGGATGCCTACTATCACAAATATGCCACACACCGTCACCAGCATCTTGACCACTTTGACGTCATAGCCGCCAGACCGCGACGTCATGAGCTCGCGCTTCACAGCGGCTCGCATCAGCTTGACAATGATGGCGAAGCAGCACGTGCAGACCACAATGAAGCTCAGGGTACAAAATAAATTGTTCAACCCGACCCACATGTAAAAATCCAGGAACTCCTGGTTGGCCAGATAAAACTCCGTGTAGTCTACGATGGCGACGGTGCGGTTAAAGGCCGAGTCAAACACCCAGACGCAGCGGAGAGTGAAAAATGTTGGAGAAATGATCGCGAAGCTGAAGCAGAATATTGAGACGGTGAGGCACGTGACTCGCCTTCTGGTGAAAATTTTGGCTACGTGGAACGGAAATATTACGGCGAAGAAACGCTCGATTCCGATGAGGCCGACGTACCAGAAGCTCGTCCCCAGACAAACGAATTTCGGCATGAAGAAATACACGGTGACATAAGTGTCAACCGTGACGGCCAGCGCAGGGTCAATGTAACTGACGAGACACTTGAGCCTGGTCACAGGGAGGAACATGCTGAAGAGTAAGTCGGACGTGGAGAGGGAGATGAGGATGATGTTGGTGGACTCGCGGAAGCGGTGCTGGCTCAGGACGGCGATGTTGATGCTGTTGCCGACGATCCCGAGAACTCCGAGCACGTTCAGCATGACGCAGTTGGTGAACGTGTCCAGGATGTGGACAGTGGCTGGGTCCATGTCGACGTTGGTGGTGGCGTTGTGCCTGATTGCGGCGACGGTGACGGATGGTACGGCTCGGTTTGGCTGTGTCGTGCTGTTGTAGAGATGTTCCAAAGATGCGATCGTCGAATCACTGCCCTGCATTCTAAAAAACTGAAGCCAAAGCACTAATGGCAAGTTATTTCCCTGAAGAGTTATGAAGTGATCAACATGACGTCAAATCTCAAATGACCACATTAAGTTTAATGGTTTAAATCAAAGAAATATGCACCACATTGAATTGAGTAAGAATATAAAAGTATATTAACCAATTATAAATTCACGGAAGATAAATTTGTCGAAGTACGAAGTATTTGTATGATTTCATTGGGAGTTTCAAAAAGGAAATCACGATGTTGGTATGCTGTCTAACGAAGAAGATTTGTAGAATTTAATTTTAACCTCATTTGTGTCATGTGAAACAAAAAAAATAGCTTTAAAAAAAAATCATCTGGCCTTGTTTTGTTTTTTTCAAAATAATTTTGAAACACTTTTAACACACTCGCGAAAATTATATCTTTAAAAAAGAAAGATAGATTGGAATAAAATGGCTTTCACTTATAAGACTTCAAGTTATAATTATTCAAATGAATTTCTCGCGCACTTAAGTAGCCGAGCTGGATGATTAAGCTGAGGCCAGCATGAATGGAATTTAGAAAACAAAAAACAACAGTGTAATTACTATTGATTTAATCATTAAAATATTAGCGGCAAAATGCCAAAGTGGAATCCGGAACTTTCCTTCACTTCAAATATTTTGAGCGAAGACAAACTGAAAAATTAGCAACCAAATGTCTATACTAATGGCACCCGTGTTGACTTGCTGTGAAGAGTCCTCATGGATCGAATATTCCATATTCCCCGAGGGTAAACAGGGAAACCTTGGTGATAGGCGTTTCATAAAAGCGATTATATATAAATTTAATTGTAATGCGTTCAGGGGCCGTGGTTCTAAAATGTTCTAATTACCGTTCTGACGCAAAAAGCACAACATGGCGTACTAGGTGGTACCTTTTAGGTGCTACGACATGAAGAAAATTGAGTTTATCGATAGACAACGTTGGAATTTTAATAATATAATACTGGACAACTCTTAAGAAAAAGTCATCCTATCTGGGTGATGAATTAAATGTGAGACTCTGGTCTCAATCTCTAAGATTTGACTATAGCTAAGGAAGATCGGCAACATAAGATTTAAAAAAAAAAAACTTTAATATTCAGCTACGGTTAAAATGCATTATTTCGTTTTCGCCCAATTAATTTGTAATCAACTTTTATTGATGCAACAGAGCAACGGCTAGGCATATTTTGTGTGTGTCTGTGTGTGTGTTTGTATGTGTCCACATGTGTGTTTGTGTCTGTGGTGGAGAGTAGGGTTCGACATACATGAAGTTTCAATTCAGATGAAAACAACAATATTAAAAGAAAAATCTATGTAAGACCAAATTCCTTCTAATATTTGGAACCAACACAATTACTGTATGTTCAGATCGAATTTGAGAATCCAAATGAATACCACTGAGCGTAAAAGGTCGACCTAATTGTTGACCTGTTCGATATGCGGCGCATGGCGTAAAGAATCGTCAGGGCTGACATCAACTTAGATTATGACGTCGTTGGCACTTAATGGATGATTTCTGTTCATGTGACCCACTGGTTTCCTGGTCATATCGCCTGTTGTACAGATAAACACATTCTATTTTTAACCAACGTAAGCGTTTTGATGTTCCTTTGATAGAGAGTGCGTAAGTCGTGCAAAGGAGCTGACGTGAGACGAAAAGGGAAGTGAAGCAAAGAAAAAGGCGGCCAGGTAGGGAGACACAGAGGAAAGGGTGGGACGTGGGTGGTTCTTCAACCATCGCACCCGAAGGTAATCAATGCAATTTTTGACTCGAGTAGTAGCCTTGAATTGAGCTGTATTTTGTTTAAAGTTATGGAGAGTTGCTCTACTCATCAATCCCACTCTCTTGTCCTTGCCTGTTCGATCCAATGGAAAAACTTGGCCAAGACGACTGGAAATAGATCAGGACGAGGTAGATGACCAGCAGAGTGTGTGTGTGTTTCACTGCCTTTTTATGAGTTCTAACTCTCAGGAGTTGTGTCAATGTCATAATGCCTATATGACTCGATATACGGGTCTGTTTTCAGAGTTTACCTTCTATAAGTAAGATGAGTTAACTTCTATTAAAAGAGTTGCCTTCTCTTAGATGAGTTGCCATCCAAGGTTAATGAGTGGGGCATGGGTAGAATTTAATGTGATACATAGTGGTTAAATTGCAGATGAGAGAGACACTGGAAGGAATTTCAGGACTATACAATGTATGGAACAAGTCAAAGATAAAAATTCAAGAAAATCCATAATTATATTCTAATTAAGATTCAGAGAAACTACGCACCTTCAAGCGTGAAGTCAGGAATGGTTTATTTTAATTTTTACATAGATTTTTACTGTTGTCTTTTAAATTTCTTCATTTTTTGGTTTAATTAGAAGAAAATTACTGCACGGCGTGCAGTGCAATTTAGTCCCATGCGCTTAGTTTATCTTAGTCAGACTATCATTAAATAAACCATATAATTTTTATAATCATTGATGCACGATCTTTGTCTCGGGTGTTAAAAGAATCTATAACGTTTTCTAAACTTGATGCAATAAGTGTAATAAATAAAAAAAGTTTATGCTGGAACTGCAGGTATTGAGAAGTTCCATTGTGCAAACAGAAACCAAATACAAGTTTTGATCATCACCGCCCTCCCCCATTGTAAATCCAGGAATGAACATCTCGGCTGAGATCAACACCCTCGGCAGGTTGCTGATGATGCATACGGATGATATCAACACTACCTGCTGGACCACACACAGAGACTTCGAGGAAAGTTTACCAGGCATGTTACTCAGTTTCGAGATCTGACTGGGGCCACAGATGAGGCTTGTATCAGCCCCCTTAGTTTTATGATAATGATTTTTCGGGACTAAGTACCACAGACGCCTGGCGGAACCTGGAAGCAGCCCGCCGACTCCTTTACATGACAAAGACGCAGACGTTCACGGTGATCTCAGTCACAATAGGACACGTGACATCTCTTGATATCCATATCAACTGCTTAATCCGTTCCCGCTTGGGTACTAAACTCAACACTGATCTGGTGGAGTTGATTCTGATGTCGAAGGATGGCGTTACCGACATGAAAGCCAGAACCGGCATGTACCTTATCAAAGCGAATACAGGGTAACAGAACTAATCCCCTATGGCAGCATAGTTTCTTCTGAACGCGTTTTGAAACTGAAGCGGGAATGCCAGGCAGAGACAGCAAACGACGGCTAGCATAGTGGTTGTCTTATGATGACCAGGTGAACGAGATTCGCGATTTTCGCACAACATATAAAGACGGCGAAGGGATCAGCCCTATGCCACAGTCTGTAGTCAGTGTTAATTTCAGTTAACGACAGTTGGAGCGCCACAGTCTGTAGTCAGTCTGAATTTGAGTTAACGACAGTTGGAGCGCCACAGTCTGTAGTCAGTGTTAATTTCAGTTAACGACAGTTGGAGCGCCACAATCTGTAGTCAGTCTGAATTTGAGTTAACGACAGTTGGAGCGCCACAGTCTGTATTCAGTCTTAATTTCAGTTAACTAAAATTGGAGCGCCACAGTCTGTAGTCAGTCTTAATTTCAGTTAACGACAGTTGGAGCGCCACAGTCTGTAGTCAGTGTTAATTTCAGCTAATGACAGTTGGAGCGCCACAGTCTGTAGTCAGTATTAATTTCAGTTAACGACAGTTGGAGCGCCCCAGCGTGGATAAAGATTGTCATGAAGTACATGAGGTCAGACGCCGAGAGAAACACAAAAGTCATCGTTATTCCGTCATTGAGTCCGATAGAGACGAACACTTTGAGAATCACGCCTTTGAGGAACGAACCAATCAAAGAGATTATTAGGAAGGCGACGCTCAAAATCTCTCAGCATATGAAAAACCGTTGATTTGAAATGAGTTCTTGAAGACCATCAATCCGTGTTGGATGGCGTGAATGAGTTGCTGAAAATTTTTGAAAGTCATCAACACCAGAACTTATGCTCGCAGTATTTGCGTTAAGGGTGCCGCCTGGAATCATGTTAATAATGGGCATATTTTATTACTCCACCATATGAAATATCCTTAATGTAATCACTGAACTCAATTGATGAACAGTAGCCAGTCTTCTCTAAAGTGTCACGTGCTGCATTTCTTAACTCCGTACACACTTTAACCGGTTGCGCATGAAAAGATGGGGAAAACTAAGGTATAAATGTAATGAGGAGAAAATTAATGTACATTCTGTCTCTAGGTTATGCTATTAAAAATCAAACACAACTAATTTGATAGCCTAATGCACATAGTTAATGTACATACTTGATGTACATGGTTATTGTACATAGTTTACTGTTTCATCTGGTTTGCTTGAAATAAAAAACAAAAAGATTTCTGAAATAACTTCCACCGTCACAGGTTTTTAGTTCTCAATGAATTTGTACAAAAGAAAATAAAGTAAATAATAATTGCTTATGTGCAACTCCATTTCACGTTGAAGATGATGGTGAGATGTTCAAACGGCATACATTTTCCAAACATAGACATTTAGAATCTAAAACAAGTTAAGATTTTACGATTGCAATCTTTTTAAAAATAAATTGCGTTTTGTTTCTCAAAAGTCAAAGCTAAACAAATATTCTCGAACTTGTCATATTTTTTATCAAAGTTTGTTCTCTAACGAAAAACTCCAGTTTTTTGAGGTATCCCTTGGAAAAACAAAACTAGGTCCATGAAATAAAATTATTAATATTTTTAACAAGCCAAAGAATAAATCATTAATTTTATCGATAGTTAAATAGTTAAAGGTCTTGAATATTGCTACGTATCTTACAAACGTGTGAATGACTTTTAATGATAAAACCTTTT